ATGCAGATGTTTGCAATAGTGAGCCAATAAAAGAAGAGCATTCAAAAGGATTCCAAGATTTTAGGAAGATCAAAGCTAGAAAGGCGGGAAAAGTAATTTCAGTGAAGCTGAGTTATAGGTGCTGCAAATCAAAAAGCTATTTTTATTTTTATTTTATTTCTAGTTTTATAAAGGTCTTTATGAAGTCAGATTTAATTCAAGCTTCATTTATACATATAGGGGAGCCATGCAAAACAAATAAACAAATCCTTAGTTCATGTAAACAAAACACTGAAAGAAATGAAACAAACACTGAAAAGCAGACTATCACAGGGAATAAAATCAGTGTTTTAGAATTGATATCAAATTATATAATAATATCAAACAATGATCATGGCCATAAAGCTTGTGGTCTGTGAGCTGTCAGTGATATAAATATTCCTACTGAAATGAAAGGAGCTGAAAGATTCTCCACTGTGTCTCTGATTCACATTTGGAAATGACATGCTGACACTAAATTTCCATTAATTATGAATTCATTATTAATTACTCATTGTTAACTGATGTTGATTGGTTTTTTCATGTTTTATGATCTGATTCTGATGAATAAAGGCCAGCAGCTTTACACACTACATAGTGCACCACTTGTGTAACACTGAGCTATTTGATATTCGGCCACACATGATATATGTGATACATTAAACACAGTTTATGTTCATCTACAAATGCATTTAATCATGGCTTTGTTTATTACACAAATCGACCAATGGATCCAAATGCTACAACAATAAGCAATGAGCCATGAGCACCACAATCTAGTAACGTATAACAAGTTTGCTCTGATTTACTTACACTTTTTATCCTGTTGTACAAGAGGGTTTGGAAAACCTGAGCCAAAACCATCGCAATTCCAGCGATTAATATAAGAATAGAGAGCACCCCAATACTGTACGCGCAACAAGACTTCATAATTACTGCTAACTGTGTTTACAAACTGTTCAGCCTGCTGCTGTTTAGGTTCAACAAGCGCTTGTCACCGCCTAATCATTACTACGCATGCGCAACATTTACACGCATGCGTATTGAGGCGCTCAACAAGCGCATGACAGCGGCCATGATGATAAGGTCAATACGATAAGATAAACTTCATTTAAATGTAAGTCCACAATGTCTGTCGCAGAAACATATAAAATGACATGGAAACAATTAAGTTCAACGCTAAATGCAGCCATATTTTAGCGATGATCAGTGTATTACTGTGTATTACTGTCTGAATTATTAGTTGCAATAGTGTCACGCTGAATCAGTTCACGTCTACTGTCATGTGATAGATGAATAATTAGGTTTACAAATATTCAGGAATACAGCAACACCACTGAAGAGGTGCTTCATATAAAAGCGTGGAGTTTTAATAGTCATTATAGTAATAATAATAATAATCATCATCATCATCACCATCACATGCAGAGTAATAAGGCGCTTAAATGTCAGTGCGTTATACACACAGAGTAAATCAAATGCAGAAAGCGCAAGTGAGTCCTTTACAGTGCGTCACGTGACCTTGGCGCATGCGCATGCGCATGCGCGTTAAGGCGCGGTAAACTCAGCTGATTCGATTTTTAGCAGTTGTAGAAACAAGGCTGTTGCTAAGAGCTAACTTTTGACACTTAGTTTTTTTTTTACGTGCAAATAAACTTTGTAGTACATTACACAGGATTAACGGTAAGCTCTGTCCAAAATATTCATAATCATATTCCAGTTTAAAGTGTGTAATAACACGTTAATTAGGACGTTATTAGCTTAAAAGCCGTTAGCCTGACAACCACTTAGCAAAACAACCGTATTAAAGATGCTGGCTTGCTAACTGAATGAACTGAGAGAAGCACATCAACCAGCTAATAATAACTGACTATAGACTCTGTATCGACTGTTAATCAGTTATAGTGCTTTTAATAGATGTAACTTCAGATGCGAATATTTTAACATAGTTCCCTATGTTAAAATTAGTTATACATAGCACTTAAATTACTTAAAATGTGTTCTTAAATGATGTTAAATATAAGTTAATATAAGTAAATGTTAAGAATAACTAATATATACATTGGTGGTTGTTGGTGATAAACTCAAGGGTTAAAATCTAATAAATAGTCAAATCAGTAGCTTGACAATGAAACTATTAGGGTTAAGCAATGCATTATTTCACAAGGTCTCATCAATGGCATAATAAGAATAATGATGAATTATTACACACACACACACACACACACACACACACACACTTGAAGGCAGATAGTCAACTAGTCAACTATGTTTGTGATTTCCTTTTTTTTTTTTTTTTTTTTTTTAATTTCAAGTCCTACTGGCTTCATGCCATGTTTCCCCTGAAAAATTGTACAAACTGTAACCCTTCTGTTCAAACCAAAAGCAGGCTGAAAAATATCAACCAAATAGAAATCAAATTTATGGGCGTTTCACTCTGTGTAATCACCGCACACGACTGTCACAGATGAGGCCGTGTGAATATACAGTCTAGGTGCGAAAGAAATCAGCCCCAGCCTTGCTACTTCATGTCATTCATCCCATAAAAACACTTTAAGCCCAGGGGGGAAATATATTGTTCAAAGTACAGCATTGTGTCAAAACTTCTACTTTAAGATCAAGTTAATTTGAAATGAATTCTTCTCTGAGGTTTCACCCAAAAGCCCAAAAATGAACTGATGATTTGAATTTTGTTTTGTAGTGTTGTTACAGACTCTGGATAATGGTGATACACTGCATGGACCATGGCGTCTGTAGACGGTGTCCCATCTCCGGAGTCGACCGTCACTTCGTTGCTAGCCAGTTCAGGACGACTGAGAAGCTCTTTGCACCCCGAGCCACTTCACACTATCAGATACAAGGACCGGCATTATGAGTCCGCCTCTGATGCTCTGGACGCTTACATCGCTGATTTTCAATCCTCTGTGTCGTCGGTGGGGCAGCTGGAGCTTCCGCAGGAACAGAGCACACCTCGCCTGCTGCGCTCAGGATACAGAAACAGAGATGGTGGAGTAGATTATTGAATCTTACATAAAACATAGTTTGATTTTTTTTTATTTTAATTTGTATTTAGAGGTGGTTGTGGTTTTTGATTTTGAGATTTATAATGACAAAAAGTGCTGAATATTTATCTTAATTATTGTAATATGGAGGTTTAATTTAAAAATACATTTGTTGCTTATTTGATTATAATATATAAATAGCTAATAGTGATGTACATTAGAATTATTCATGATTTATTTTTTGTATAAGTAATGTGTTATATATGTTAAAGATGTTTTGTTACTGCTACCATATAATGGCAACAGGCATGTTAACCCTTTAGGGTCATGAGCTTTGTCAGTGAAGCTGGGCAAAAATCAGATGAACTTTGTAGTATTTTCTGTTTATAAATTTGTGAGATTTTATCATACTAACATGAAAATCGTTGTCAGAACCTGGAGTTTTGTAAGTTTTCTTTCCTTTTTACAGTACTAATTACATAAGTGAGATTATCTCATACAAAGTCCAGCCACTCTGCTATTTCTCATTCCTTTCATTGCTTACAAATCAGTGAGGTAGAAATACTCACTATTACCACACGTAAACTACTGATGTTACTCTAAAATGGTGTTAATAAAATGCTAAAAAGAGGCTGAGAGAGCAGGAAAGAAGCCACTTGAAGTCACAGCTCATGTAAGAAAATGGACTCTGATTGGTCCTTAGGTAAACCTGACATCACCTATAATCAAATCAGCCAGAAAAAAAGGAGAAAAAAGTCTAGAAATCTATCAAATAAATAACAGCCTTGTTTGTTCTTTTGTTAATGTGTTATATCCCGCAGCTATATCTACACTCATCCAAGGTGAACATCAGAGAGATGTCTTTAACATAATAACATTAAAAGTCCGGTTACTTTGACTTGAACTTTTAGATGTTTGAAAATAACCCACATTGTTAAAATCATTTAAATTAAGATTTTTAGATGAGATAGAAATAATATAAAAGAGAAATATAAATATAAAGAGAAAACTCTTCACAATTAGTACAGTAGCTTGGACTACTCCTATTTCAAATTAAAGGTGCTATATGAATGAGTAACATTGCTACTCTAATGTTTGTAATTGTTTTCTTGTTTTGTTTACAGTGCTAAAAGAAAGCCTTACAGACCAAGAGTTGGACTTCTTGAAGCTTCCCACTGCTTCAAAACGCAGAGAATCAGACCACATCAGCATGACCACAGATGATCTGCTGCTACTTCCTGTTGACGGGTCTCTTCCTGTGACCCGCACTTCAGCTTTTCTCTCTCGATTAGAACGTTCCAGGCTAGGGCACAGTGCCAACTTGAGTGCCTGGTCTCGATCCGGGCCTGCTGAAGCCCCAAATAAATCATCAAATTGTTCTTCTGCATCAAGAACTCTGTGTGTGGATGATTTACTGATGGAAAGTTTGAAATTTAAGCATGGATCTCTGCACTCCAACCCTTTTATGTCCACAAAAACAAATAAACAACGCTCTGTTTCATCCCATCATCTTCCAAGATGGATGACCAGTTGCAAGTCAGAGATGGCATTTTCTGGTCTGACTAGCATTCCTGATCTGAAGTACCCGGCCTGGTTGGAGGAATATGACGTTAATGTTAGGACTCAGAATGTTCCAGCGTGGGTCACCAAGCTGGAGCAGAACACTGATGAGAGTCATGAGGAGCTGAAAGGTCAAGAGAACCTCATAGGTCAAACTGCTGATAATGGAGAACCCTTCAGAGGTCTGTGAGCTGAAATTTTCATAATTAAAAACCATTTATTTGCCAAATGTTATTGTTGTACTTCTTCTGGCTGCTCCCGTTAGGGGTCGCCACAGCGAATCAGTGGTTCACTTATTTGATTTGGCACAGTTTTTATACCGGATGCCCTCCCTGAAGCAACACTCCCCAATTTTTTATTTGGGCTTGGGACTGGCATTGGGAGTGCCCTGTATTGTGCAACCCTGGTGGCTGGGGTCGGTTGCCTGGCCAGGATTCGAACCCAGGCCACGGCGGTGAGCGCGCCAAGGCCTAACCACTAATTCTCCAGGGACCCTATTTATTTGCCAAATGTAAACTGCAAAATGTTTTATTTTTCTTATTGTAATTAAAGCTCCTCTTCGCTTTTTCTCAGATGATAAGATCGGCTCACTTATTCAAAGGGCGGAGGATGTGCTGAAGTCCCCTTCATTAGGTTTCTGTAGTTCAGATAAAGAGCAGCATGGCAGTCCAGGAAACACAGAGGAGCTTTTAGAGGCTGAGCGCTCATGGGACAATCCTCCGGTAACATTGTAAGACAATTTATATATTCAAAATATACTGTAATGTATATTAGAACAGTACTTACATTAACACTACTTAGACTTGTGTTTTTATCTGTACAGAGTGTGTAGCTATTCCAAAAACATGATCAAATCTAAAAGCACACTTAGCTAGCAATGTTTTTTGCGTTTGTTAAACTGGCATGTTGTTACCCAATGTGATTTTTGCAGGCAGGCAGCCAAGGCAAGGTTAGAAATTAGACTAAATATAGACATTCCACATCATTTTGGTAAAAGATATTTTTGTTTTCTTAAAGTAGAGATATCAACATATATTATTAGCAGAAAAACTCAATTTTTGTTCAAAACTCAATTTTTCATAATTTTTGGCTGTTTTCCAGAATTCAGTCATAGCAAATTTCCAGACTGCCTCACATTTATCCTTTAAAATGAACATAATTTATGTAGAATGGTCACATTTTGAATATGTGCTTTAATTATTTTTTCATGTTGCAGTAAGTCTCCAGTACCAGTAGGCTGCACTGATGAACAAATAACTGCTGATGAATCTCAGACGGACACAAAAGAGAAGGTAGAAAAAAAAAATCAGTTGGTCTCTGCATTTCATAGCTCTGTTTATTCCCGTATGTAAGGACTCAGAAGGGAGTGTGTCATCTGCGTCAAATAATTATGCACTTGCAGTAAAAGGGGAGGAAACGAGTGTGTAGTGGGAACCAAATGTAGTTAAAATGGTTTCTTCGGAGATTTACTTGATTTCCTTTACAGAATCATATCAGCTTGCTAGTAGGCAGAATAAAGTAACAAAAATCCATTCAGAGTAAGAGTAATAAAAAACAATTTACATGGAGTAAATGGTACATTGCTTACACATATAACAGCTTCTTCTGCTATTTTATGTTCTTCAGAAAGGAAATTGGTTCTGCTCCTGAAGTCTACACTGTTCCTCTCTAAACAAACTTTACTGATAAGATAATGTAAGGGCCCTTAAAATGTTGAAGGGGATTCAACCAAAGGGAAGAAACATTAACAAGGGCATGTTAAAATAGTTTGGATGCGACGCATGTAGATTCTTAAGTCAGCATTTTCAAAGCTACTGATCTTTGATACTCATCATACGTACTCATATTTTTCCTTTTTCCTAATATGTCTCTCAGTCTTTAGGTTCCTTCTCTTCAGGCTACAGCAGCAGGAAACACCCTGGTCCAGTTGAAGCCCTCAAACAGATGCTGTTTAGCCTCCAGGCTGTGGAGCAGAGAGTAACACAACAAAAAGATGAAATACAAAACATTTCCAGCAGACCTGTCTCAAATCCACTAATACAGATAGAGAACCATGACAATGATGAGGTACAGAAAAGGCTAAAATTCCACTACCAATATATAAGTGAATTTTAAAATAAATTTTACTGAACTGATGAAATTAATTAGTTAATTAGTTAATCATTTGTTATCACATAAGGTTTGTAGGGTTACGTTCCTTCATTAGCCTTTATTTTTTCTCTCTCGAAGTTAATCAGACAAAAAATGCAGCTTGCCATGTTGGTTACAGCTTACAGCTTAAAGTTACAGCTTTACTTGTGATGTTACAAAGCTCTGACACTGGAGACTCTTTCCAACATGCTAAATACCGTACAAAGATAAACATAAATGTGTTTGCATTGTGATGCAGAAATGGAGTTCACGGCTAAGCGTAGCTCGCAGAGAAGCCAACGTGCTTATCTCCAAATTCGCCCAAGCCAGAAAAATGCACAAAAGAAATGTACATTTGATATTATAGCATCTTGAGCTCTGGAGGTGTGCATGAATAAAGCAAGATAAAGTCCTCCTTACAGTCAAAAACACATTATTTCACATATGTCAGTTGAAGAACAATGTGTTTGTTTTGAATTAACGTAATACATAAAAGATCCTCAAGTTCAGTTTAGACTTTGTTCTTCTTTATCCCATACAGCCCTTTACGTTTACTATAAACGCTATACTTTATTCTTTTTTATGTTTTCTATATATCCTCGTTTGGTTCGTGTGACACTGCCCCCTTCTGTGCATATTTATGTTTCAATTTATGTAATTCATTACATGATTGCTTATACTGTGTGTTATAACACATACAAGTGTTACCATTTGAATTAAATGTATGCTATCACAATTATTTAAAGAAAATAGTAGTGTGTAAGCAAGATGTTCAGATGAGGACTAAAAATCGACTTTCAGTACATATACCTGAAAGGAAATATGTATAATATAATCCATATGATACTGTAACATCATTGTCTGTTTTTTCCAGGTTCCTCAACCAGGTATTGAAGATTATGATTTAGCTCCTGGTGGACAATCATTAAAAAGGTCAGTTAAACATTATTGGTTCATTCTACATTATGCCACAGCACTGCTCAATGCTTAATTTTGATTGGTCAGTAATTGTTGATTAATTTAATAGCAGCTTGGACAATAGTGCTGGCTGAAAGCTTTATATTAATGTGCTAGTTCTAATACATTATTGTTTCTATAGTAATGACTTTCTCAGGGACTTGTTTGGCGGATGAAAACAGATAAAAAAACGTGGAATTGTTGCTATGGTGAAGTTTTATGTAAGGAGATGTTTATTTAGCATTTTTGGAAGGGGATTCCAGTATCAGCACTTTGTAACAGTCAGAGGTAAAGCTATAGCTTCAAGTTTTCTGCCACAGGAAAGTGTTCAGGAATGAGGGCTTCGCCATTTCTCTGTAATATGACAAGCTGCATTTTTTGTCTTTTTAACTTGAAGAGAGAGAAAAAGAGAGAGGCTGGAACAATTGTTTATAGCTGTTATAATGTAACTGATAACAGGAACTTGTTTCGTGAATGATCCACAACATTAAAATAAGCTGCTAAAATACATACATGTTGTTCTTGTTAAAATTGTTAATGTTGGCAAATTGCAGTTGTATAAAACTCTTTCGACATAATGTTACTGAAAAATAATCAACTTTAGCCAGTATCACACCGCCTCATCATTGATTATTTTCTATAACAGTACACGGTGAAGTGTTTTATTCCTTATTTCACACATTTTGTATCAGCTCTTATATGTGTTGATGTTTTTACTTTGTTTGTTTTTAGAGCTCTGCACCACCTTGGAAGACTGAAAAACCTTGTGGATGAAATGAACGAGAGAAGGTCTATAGAATGGAAGGAGGGTGGTGTCTAGCACTAATGTCTTATGGTTTCCTCAGGGAATATCAAACGAAATGTTTCTATATGTGAGTCACGTTGAGTCTGATATCATTATGATTATTTAGTTTATTTATATTACTTTAACTGCAGTGCCTTATGATGACTTGTCTTAAATTAACAACACTATCTCAGAGTTGTACTGTATTTTCCAAAAGTCTGATGTTCTGTCATTTGCTGTTGAATTACAAGTCAACATCATGATTACCATTTTCAGTGTATTCTCATCCAGTAACTGATAATATCTTTTAAATATAAATATAGACCAATGGGTGAGCATACACTGAGTGATAGTTATGAAAGTAACTAATGATAATTAATAAATGATCCATTCCATTGAATTTTTGGTTTAAACTGTCTTTAAAAAACAGTAGACAGTTTTCTTACTTTGCCTCCACCTGCCGTTTTTTGTACTGTTTGTCTCATCTCATTTTTGATAATAAAAAAAGTTTATATTAACCTGCACTTGTTTCCTCTTGTCAAAGCCTGGCAAATGCAGGTTACCACTAAATAAAAACAATTAGAAAACAATTAGATACTTTGCATTATATATTAAGAGAAAAAATCTCTTAATTTAATCAGTGAATTAACTTCTAGTAGAGTTTTTTGTACTCCCATCTATACTGTGCATATGCTGTAATGCAACACAACCATGTATCCAGAACCATGATGCAACACACAAGATAACACAGGACTAATATGCACAGGGCTATATATGTATATAAAGTACAAATTGTGCAAAAAAAGTGTGACAAGTGTCCAAAATGTCACTGTACAATGAAAAGGATAAGTGTGATGCAAATAGAGACACTGTACACACTCACTATACAGAACAATAGGAGCTTTCTCACAGATGATGTAACTGCTACATGTAGAAAATTGTACAATAGGTGTAAATATAAAACAAGCCAATCCAGAAGATGTCAGTGCTATAAAGAGCTGGTTCAAATGGGTCTAAATTCAGGTAGATTTTGGCCATTTGATGTTCAAAAAGAAAAGCCAAGTATAATTTATTTTACAGTGGTAAAATGCTCCCGCTGGACAAACAGGTGAGTGTGTTGATTTTTGTCTGTGTTTACAAATGACTTAATGATTAACTCTGAAAGCAGCATATGAACTCCTTTATTATAAAAAATACATTATATACACAATACTTGCCACTCTGTCATGCTATATAAGATGTTACTAGGTGAAACCAGCTATTGTTTAAGATTAGTAGAAGTTTTAAGCAGGAAATTTATTTGATGTGAGTAGCTAGGCTCTGGCTACTCACTAGGCTAATTAGGTATAATCAACACACAGCTAAAAACCTGAGAGAAGGCATGGAAATGCTAAATAAATAATGTACACAGTTTAAAATAATGGAGAGATTCTGTGTTCTAGCATTTGGTTTAACATTAGATATGAGATTTAACTACTTAAAACAGAGGTTTCAATTCTCTTTGAGGATGAAGGTTTAGGATCAAAGTCTTGGTTTGTGAACTGTGTCCTCGATCAAGGTTTAAAAACAAAAACAGCTCAACTAGAAAAATCAATAGACAAATTATGATATGGCAAAAGTC